ATGTATTTTGATGGGCAATTCCTATGACATGCATATTTTTATCTCAAACAGAAGTTTACATGTAGTAGTTAGTACAGTGATTTAAGTCCCTTTTTATCCACTCTCTTTACTTAAAAAATCCTTGTTGTAAATAAAATCCATCCAGCCAAGGACTCATAATCATCCTACATCCAGGAGCATCTCTGGATTAAAATGCATATGTATCGGAAAATCTAAGCATACCAGAAGATGGGTCTCCTGCTGTCTCTTTGGCATACAGGGAGAAGAACAAGAGGCAGAATTCCAGGTGTGCCTGACTGAGCTTGGACTTCCTTCTGTTTGTTTGGCACCTCCTTAGCCAAATAAAATATAATTTGGTTCACCTATATATGTGAGAATATGATTGGTTTTAACTGCAGACAGGGAAGAAGAGAGACTATTTGTTTAGAATAAATATAACCAGAATAAACAAATGGAAGAAAGAAGCAGCTGACCTGTATTTCAGGAACTGGAACATGTCTGTAATGCAGATGAAAAGCCCATTCCAACTCCCCTTTAAATTGTGCACCATTCAAAACTATTTATCATGAAGCAGTTACATGCTCATAGCTGAAAAAGTGTTTTGATATATTTTTTATGAGTATAGCTTCTCCAGTGTTAAGATAACTGATCTCAACACTACCTTGCATTAATTATTGTACTTCTTTCTGCAGAATCATGTCCTGTAAAAAAGGAAAGATGAAAAAAAAGGACGTATTCATTATATTAAAAAAAGTCAGGTAACAAAAGGTTTAAGAAAGAACTTTTCTTTCATAATACTGCAAAGGACAATCAAACAATTAAGGAAAAAAAGGTTAAAAGTAAAAAGCATTTTTTCTTGGTTTAAATCAGATATTCAATAAAGGAGGAAAGAACCAATAATAAAAAGGAATAAGTGCCATTCAGAAAACACTTGGAGCTCTATTTGTTTTCTTCCCACTCTGGAAAACAGTAAACAGTCAGTAATAATTCAAGCCAAGAGGCATAATATTCTAAGATGAAATTTTTATCTATTTTTATTTTTAACTTTTGTAAGAAATGAAATTATTAAAGAAGCCCATCTCCTATACAGAAAAAAAAAAAGAATAATTATATTTAAAAGTTATGTTTTACAAGATATTTTAACTATTTAGTTCACAAATTCATGTATTATATGGATACAATACAAATACAAAATGCTCATTCTTGCATGCCGTGTTGGTATAATGGTGATATCTCACAGTAATATCAGTAAACTCCATCTACAATTTATATTTTTTTTGTAATACCCTACCTTTATGCTGCTTTTTACCTAAACCATAAGCTGGGACCTTGCATTTATCCTCACAGAAAAAGAATACTACTTAACTTAAAATAAGATATATATTTATTGTCTGATGCTTGATTATTATTCTCATCTCTTTTTTGTACCTTATCTATTACTCCACTGAAATGGCAGCCAGAATTTGGCCTTTTAATAAATATGAGTCCTTTGAGCTGTAGGATGTAAAATCCAGATACACATGGCTTAGCAGCGCCTAATTAATTTTCAAGAGAGCATTATATTAGTATTATAAATTAATTAGGTGAAAGACAATGTAATATGCTTAAACATCACAAATAGTGTAAATATACCAGACAGTGTTTGTAATAATGTGAATAATTTTTAAAGAGAAGAGATTAGATAGTGAGTTTGATTGTGCTCCTGATGAAGACTTTCCTGCTATATTTTATATACACTCAGAGGCTATTTCAGTGGCATAGCTTCACTTCTGTCTTGTTGGTCCAGATATAAACAGCATGTTCCTCTCAGATCTCAGGGTTTCTGTTTTCTTAATGTGACCATGACATGTACTATATTGCCTGGACTATAAAAGATTAGTCACATAGTAGTCCCTTTTGAAATCCTTTAAGAAGCATTTGAATACTCCAGGGTTTCTGCTTAACATTATAGATATTAATAAAGAAAAAATATGTTAACTGGGTCTAACATACAGACACATCCAACCCTTGATGTCCAGGAGGTTGTTTCTTTCCAGGTCAATGACTGTGTCCCATAGTCCAACTGAATTAAACAAAGATATTTGTCTATGTAATGCCTCACTCATCTCTATTTCCATTGTTTCCTGAGATGAAATCCCAGTTTAAAAGTATTAATTGTAGACCAGAACTAAAAGGTACAGGTCTTCCACTCTTAGCTTGTCTTTTCAGTCCATACTAGATGGGGAAAATCTTTTTCAGTTTATGCAACTTTCTTCTGCCTCCTGTACTGGCAAAAAATGATGACCTAGTAGCACAGAAGACCAGTGAATATATATGGTAAATGTAAAGAGAGTATCTTTCAACAGGCTTGTTGTGCTTGAGAATTAAGAGGCTGATAATTCATTAGTGGGTGCTATGATCTTGCCTCTGGTGTGAGGGTGCAATTCCCTTGATGAGTGTGGGCTTTAGGATTTCCTTTTAAATGAGTGCCTTAAGAAAAGTAGGCATTAAATCTCCCATTTATTTTCCGTTCAGATACATGTTGAGTTCTGCTTATCCTACCTCAGCTGAGGATAATTTTAAACTTCTCTAAATTATCTGTACTGTCCTGGTTTTTTGCACATATGCAGACAGATAATATTACACATGAAAAACCTTTCTGTTTCATCTCTACTTTGCTTGGGGTAAAGGCAATTCCTACAAGTAAAAACCATGTTCCAAATATATGCTTTGCCAAGAAAACCATTTAGATTCATGTGTTTGGTCAATGTTCAATATGTTCTACTAACACCAGCAAATGAAGTTAGCATATATTAAGAACAGAAATGGGACAGTGATTCCGGTACACCTTTGTACAGTGTTTTAGGGCCAGTAGTTTGAGAAAACAAAATAAATGAAAATAGGTTTGTACATTCACTGTTATCTTTGCAAAGTAAAAGGGTTATAAACATAGCCTTGCTCCAGTTTTTAACAGTTGAAACTTTATTCATTACTATGGCAAGACGCAGGGGTACACTAAAAATAACTGATCAGGGTATTAGATCTTACATACTTACTGAAGGCTGTGATATTCAGAGGCCAGTGGGTCTTTTAGTCATAACTAACCCTGAACTCCTACTTAATTTCTTTTAAAAATAAGACAGGAGTTATCTAGGCTCCAGCTTCATTTTTATCCAAGCTGAATTTAAATATACAAAAATTCCTCTGCATTAACTGTTTTAAAGCTCCTGAATAAAAACTCACATTGGTCTAAGTGAAGAGAGAAATAGGACTGTGGGTTAGTGGCTTTAGACTATCTAGCTGCAAAGCCAGGAGTACAAGCTAATTTACGCAAGTCATATCTTAATTATGTATGCATGAATGTAATGCAAATGGTTATCTGCATGGAAATATATTAATAATACTTTATAGCATTAATTGAATTAATATTAAGGGAATACCATATTTGATTTTACATATTTTCATAGTTTGTTTTTCATTTTTTTTGTTATGATAAAAAGAAAAAAAGTCTACTGCACACATCACTGTCATGCCATAATAGATTATTGAAAGTGTATGTACTGTAATTCACTCTATATGGTCCCTTTTAGCATGGAGTTTCTTATTCAGCAATCCCTAAAAAGAGATATATTGAATGAAACATATGTTGGTTGGAGTCCTCTGGCTTTCTCAGCAAGACGATGTATCATCCAGTTAATTAAGCCTCTGGATCATTCTAATATCAACGGGATTAGGTGTTTAAAGCAGGGCACGTAATTTGCTGAACTGAAGCCTAAAAGAAGCAGGAGAGTCGTGGAAATTACTGTATGTGATTATGTCATTAAAGATAGCCTGCCAGTGACAGTGCAGGAGTGGACTGAACTAAGGCCATCCAAAATCCTTAATACCCGAATGCTTTAGTTTTTTTCTTTGTGGAGGTAGAAACTAAGTTTTTATATGCTTTTATAAAGTGTCATATGATGCAAGATATAAAGGCTACAAATTAGACTGTCCTGAGAATTCCAGCTACCTGCAATATAATCCCATATTATAATCCCAATATTATCTCAATAATCACTGTGACCTTAGTCCTGAGGGTCTCTCCCAGCCTGGGCTTGCAGGATTGAGTCTTTGTATGGTGCCAGCTATGTGCTCATGATGATTAATGACATTTCTCAAATGCATTAAATGCACTTGTCTTGTCTTCACACCTCAGTGTGCACAGCCAAAGCATAACATCAGTCACCAAAACCACTCAGGCTGCTATAATAACGCAGATAATTTCCAAGATTGTTTCAAGTATAAACAAGTATAAAATGGCCTGATGTCTAAGATCTGTTTAACCTTATGAAGAAAGTCCAAATATTGTAGCGGGGATGAAATTGAAAGGTGAGGAAAACAATTTATGCAAACAGCAGTTCATCTTTTTTGCTTTTCTCCTTCCTAATTTAGGTTGACAAAATCATGAGCTAAGGGAATGGTCCACTAAGCACAGTTTTTTCCTCCTCCACCCCCAGCCATGACGAGTGTGAGGACACTGATTACAGAATTTATTTTAAAAAATACATTTACATCCTCTCCAGAGATATACAGAGGTATAATTAATTGCTCTGACATATCTGAGCCAGAAGCCCTCTTCAGCTACAGGGACACTTTCTGAGTAATTTAGACAATCTTTAACTTAAAATTATTTGCTGGAAAAGCTCTGTGGAAGTGCGATTGCTGTAAGTAAAAACCACTCTGCTACATAGCACCAGCCCAACACCTCTGAAGCTTTGTGACTTAAACACCATCTGTGGTCTGTGCTATCCCTTTCAGAGAGGCAAATTTACTTTTTTAATATTTTGAGGTAGTGTAATAGAAAAGACTAGATAACTTCCGTTTGCTAATATTTTGCAGTGATTCAGAAAGTGATTTTTTTGACTCAAAAGAGAGTAAAGACTGGAAAGCTTTTGAAAAGCCTGCTCCAAACTATCAAAGCTATTTCATTTTCATTCTCTGAGCCACTCCTATGCTTAGCCATACTGCACTGTGTTTTTCAGAGGATGCCTATAAAACTCAAGTCCGAATTGATGATGAACCAGCCTATTTGGACATTCTAGACACTGCTGGACAGGTGAGTTGTTTCCCAATATGAACAAAAGATGTTAACCTCAGATATATGAGTCAGCAGCAAGCTTCCCTATTCAAACACAAAGGTATCAGTGGCAGAAAAACTTTGATGAATTAACAAAGGAGAAGATTAAAGGAGTGCTGCAGTGGTACAATATAACTTCAATATCTGACCATAAGAGACTGACAAATTTGTTCAAGTAGAAGACAAAAAGCTGTTTGCTTCTTTTTCTCTCATATGCAGAAACATCTATCACAATCATGGAACGCATAAATGATGTTGTTGGTTTGTCTGATGTGTTTATCATTCCTGCTTTTCTAAATATTGCAGGAATCTTCTTATCTACTTGCAGATCAAGTACTTTGTAACCGTTCTTCTCCTCCTCACTTTATATTTACACATCAAATACTAACCCATAAGGAAAAGATCTTAACACCTAAAGTAACACATAGTGTACATATACTGTGTATGTGCAAGTGTAAGCACCAGTTAGGGAATTTTCACATACAGCAAGGTAAAAGATGGAGTTAAACGCACGAATTTCTTCTACCTGATTCAGTTCACTCCCTTTCCACCTCAGTATGTTTTATTGTTTAATCAAAATGTTGCAGCTGGTTGATCTTTTCCTGAGTTATGCGTCAGGTTCTGTTTGAAGGCTTTGATAGTTTCATGAGTTTCCATAGTGTATGTACACCTTGTACAGGAATGAGTCAGTCAGCAAGGATGGCAGATGCTTAAAACAAACAAGCTAAAAAAGATTTAGATCTTATAAGCCTGGAAACCTTGATCTCAGCAACATCCGAATGCACCAAGCTAGGAACTGCAAATGGTGGAAAAAGCAGTCTGCTGCCAGGAATTAGAATGGCATCAAGTTATACAAGTTGAATGTAGTTCAGGGTGATTGTGGCATGAGTTTTACATGTGAATGAAATATAGGCCAATTTCAAAGTGAACTCAACCCAGTTTCAGAAATCAAAAGATGCCCTGAATTGTTCTTCCTTGACCCAAAATTATACAGTCTCAGCAGTTGACCAGTGACTTGCTGCTGAGTTTGCTGTGAAAGTGTTTGATTCTCCAGAAAATTTAAGCTAAATTTCAAGGCATGTCTGCAAAGCCATGAATTTAATTGACCTAGAATTTATTATTATAATAGACCCAAGAAATTCCTTACACATAATAGTCCTAGCATAGCTTCAGCAGTGTTATGGCCGGGGAAGAGAAGGAACATCATGGTTTCTACTCAATACATCTGAAAATAGCTGTACTTCTGTTTGAGAAGAAGCAACAACATCTTTGCTCACTCAGGAAGTCTCAGCCTAGTAACAGCCCTATGTTGTTATTATATAATCATTAGGGGAATGATATCTCCAGCTGTTTAGTCTCATAAGGCTTTGATGTTAGAGACCACCTGTTTTATCACTTAATATTGTTCACTGTGTACATCTACTTCATTCTACTCCTAAATTCACTTTAGTCCTATTTTGTATAGTTAAAAAGCTAAAAAGTAAAATAATTTCTTACCCAGAGCTGAAAGGGAATGATAAATCACAGTTTACGTGTCCAGCTTTTTGCTAATGGAAAGAGGAGCAAATTGTTATGCAGGATTTCTTAATTTTCATAGGTGTGTTCTTAATTTGCTGTAGAGTCTCTGGGAGCACATAGGAGATAAACTTTGCAAATCATGGAAGAGCGTACAATAGGTACAGAGGTCCTTGTGTTGTGTTCCCATTTACAGATCTGTGCAGATCTCAGATGAACTACTTGATCCTAAATATGCATCAGTAATGCAAAGATTATTTATGGAAAGGAAATGAAACAGCTTAAAATCAAAGCAAAGAATGGACAATGAATTAACCAAAAATCAGCAGTGTGTTTTTATTTTGGGTTGAGAGAAATATATTGCAAAAACCAAGAGGAATAATTTCTTCTACTTTGGTTTTTTTGCATTTGTTTTGCTACTAGAAACATGAAAGCTTATGTTGCTGGTAAAAAAAAATTAGAATCGGACACTGAGAGTTTCATTCTCTTTCTAAATCCCCATCAAAATCAAAGCCTCTTTTTTTTTTTTAATTTTACTTCGAAAAAATATTTTTAAATGGTATTTCATTTCTGTCAGCTTCTTTTAAATAAAGAAAAAAGAACCAAATTGGAGCCCAATCTTCAATCCCTTTGATTTTTTTTTTTTAGATTCAGGAAGAAAGGAAAATATCCCCATGCACTGGACTTTCAAGTAGCTGAAAATATGTTTTCTTCCAATTTTAACAAAACTTATTTTTGCCAGTCATGTTCACTTCTTAGGAAAACTTCTCCACAAAATTATATTATTTTTACATTAATTTTCATCTTTTATCATATAAAAAAGCTAGAAAAAACTCTCATTTTTAACAGGGGAGAGGGATTTATTGCCAATATTATGAATTTTAGCAGAACTGACAGTTGTAAGCAAATAAATCAGAATAACACAAACAGTGAAACATGGTGAGAGCAATAGTAAAGAAAGACTGAAGAGTTTTAAGTTTTGTTTCAAGAAGGGACCAAAATATCCATGACATTAGAGGCCCATGGCATGTAAGACCATGTAATGAAATGTGATTTCATTATCATTTCAGAGATTTTGGACCAAGCAGAGATTGGTGGTAATAGGTCTCCACACTCTGCAATACATCAGCCCCACACATTGTACAGCCTGGACACGGCTATTCTACCCTAGGATCCAAGTTGAATTGATACCAAAGAATCTCTCCTTTAAATTTCCCTGGTCTTCCAGCGCAGGCTGTCATTACTGAAACATGTCTCAGTATTTCTCTATTAGGAAGGTCTTCCCACTTTCCTACATCCCTATTTTTCAGAAACTGTCCATTCTAAGTATCCTAGATTCACCTGCTTGTCTTTGCAGATGTCTTTGAATTTGTTGCCTTTCTACCTGCACTACACAACTCCAGAATAAATCAAGACCTAATCCAACTCCCATTGAAGTCAACAGCTAAAATAGCCTCCCTCCTCACAGAGGGCTTGATCTTACTCTCACTGAAGTTCAAAATGAAATCCTACTGGGACTTTGGTGATGCAGGGTGAAAATCCAAAGTGCCCAGCTATGCTGGTGATGCTACCTCACTGAGCTTCACGTTAAAGCAGAGATGATGTTGCAGCTGCTAATTCACGTAGTGGAAATCTCATTTCTCCCTGGGTGGCCTCGTGCTCATAAATACCTCATCATCAACTTTGAATAATGACTTTAATCACTTCAGAAGATCAAGGAGCTATAATTGTAATTCTTCCCTATATGGGAAATAAAAGAAGTAAATAGAGAAACCAACTGAAGTTAACATGTTTTGCTGTTCTAGACAATATGTTTCACCATATAGGCATCTCTTTTCCCTGCTGTACCAATGCATTAATTGAGCACTTCAACACGATTTATCAATGATTAATATAATTCCTTATTGTCAAGCCCAGAGTTAAAAGTCCATATCTGATTTCATAGCTGAAACCGGATTAACTCATTCATATTTTAACTGATAGGTATAGTTTGGAGCACTAAAAATATAGATGGTGCTTCAGAAAGACATATCTGGTTCTCAACTTTCTGCATTTAAGAAACATTCAAAGTCAAAACCAGAAACATGAAAAAACTGTTAGTATTGCTCAACTAGTTTTTGATCTTTTTCTTCTCATGCATATACATGGACATTATTAAATAAAACAGATAGACTCTCTCAGGAAGCAGACTGATGTTCCATGAACTCTGGATGCATATTTCCTACTTCATCAGTTGTCCTCTAAAGCTCTTTTGATATACTTTTCCCACTGAAGATACAGTAAGAGGCACATTCTTAATGTATGTAGGGCTAGTGTAAGTAGTTACACTTCACTGAACTCACTAGCCCTGCTTTTCGTCACCTGCTACACTTGCCAGCAGGGTAGCCTGTCTTTGCTCACCGCCATCAACTTCAGACAGAATAAGGTTACGTTTACCTCAGAGAGTTTCAAGAGCAGGTATTGCTGATGTAGGTCCTTGTAGCTGAATTGTCATAAACAGTGCTTACTTGAGCAGTTCCTAAAGCTTGAAAACATGGCATGTGGTAAAAAGGAAAGTAACAAAAAATTGACGTTGACTTTCTTTTTCAGTGGCACAACTGAATCTAGAAGACACATATCATTAGCCTCACATTTGCTGCCAGCAGAAGCTATCAATGATGCCTTTGGCTCTTCTTTATCTAGAAGTTTTCTTAAACCGAAAGTTTTCTTTTTGTGTCTACATTTCAATTAAAACAAAACTAAAAAGAAAATAAAAACAAACAGATAGTAAATGTGAGATTCAGCTTCAGGAGGATTTTCATTTAGTTAGCTTTTAACCCTCTAGGCTAGCCACAATTTAGCATGTGGAGTAGATGATAAATAAACAGTTAATGGAAGTCTGCCAATGCAGACTATTACCCCCAAAAATGGCTTGTGCTTCCTCATTCAACCATGCTTGTGGGAGATCTCTTGAGTAACTCTCTCTGTCCCTGAAGTCTGGGAGAAGTATTGGGAAGGAGGTAGTTTTGAGGTTTCCTTTCTCTTATCCAATGTCTCATAAACCTCAACTGCTTTTACATATATTTGGTTTAAAGTGGTGTAAACTCTTTGACTTCCAGGAGACTGATGGCTGCAAGCACAAGGACATTCAAACCTCAAGTCCTTTGCTTTGTGTTCAGCTCCCTTCACAATTATTCTCAGAGACTGACAACCCCCAGCTGCTCCAAATATGCACAAAAAGCCTCCACACAGAGTTATAGAAACCTTCTGTTCTCTCATTTACACTTTCTCACTCTCTCTTCTAACTTAAAAATATGTTGCTACTTCTGGAGCCCAGTTTGAATTCCTCCTTGTGGAGCATACACAGCAGTTATCTCTCCTGCTGTATTTATAAACCGTTGACTGACACAGGAGCTTTTATTCTTGCCACAGCTTTCCTCCTGATGACACATTACCCAACCTCCCAGTTTAGAATTCACTCTGAA